AGCCCATGTCCTTTAGTTTCCAATGTTGTTTTTGACAAATGCTCTGACACGCTGATTCTATGTATGACCCTACTACTTCTCTTGGAAATCTTGTTGTGTTTTTCCTCTCTCTAGGCCTTTGTCTATGTCTTTCTTTTCATTCTAAAGACTTACATCCTCCAATTTAGGAATTCATCCCCCACCCTGAAGTCCCATTCTGTATAACTCTCATTATTTAGATGAAGAACTTCTTGGGTTGATCCTAAATCTTAGTTTCTTAATCTCCATCATTCTGAGAGATTTCTTCAAGTGGAAAAAAACAAACTCCATGTTAGGGTTAGAAATGACCTTTAGAAAGAAAGACAAAACAATGTCTCGTTGTTTGACTAGCTACTTAATTCACTCCAGTAATACTGGCAGGATTACTGAATAAAGAAACTGAAGTCACAGATAATGAATTAATCGAAACAGGTGAGTCACTTTTCTCCATGAAGCACAACATTCTACAATAATGAAATAAATGCAATTTACTATAACAATATGTAAAATAACATTGTAGCTGTCTGTGCCTCAGGGGAATAATATGAAAATATAATGGTTAAAGATAATTTGGAGAAAATGCTTTAGCCCACCTCAGAAATCACATGAGAATTCAACATCAATATAATAATGTGCAATGTAGGTACAGATTAATACATGATGTATGAATAGATTTTCATTCCACCTATCTGATGTCCCTTATTTTTTGTGAACTGACAGTACTTGTTACATAAATAATCTTCAACCTTCTCCTTTATAACAAAGAGTAATGGCTAGTACGTGCACTATTGTCTTTCCTTTAATGTTATTTTAAAATTAAATATAGTGCACAACATAGCTTGTAGTACATGGTTTAAGCTGGCTGGTAGGCATAGGTAAGTTACTGTAGGAAAGCAACCTCAAAATAAGGAAGTGGGTATATAAATGAAATTAAAAGGAAGTGCAGAATCTAGGATATTCAGGATTAGAAAATTAAATTATTTCTCATCAAATGAACTGTGATCATTACACACATCTTTAGGACAAAACCAAATCAACATGGCTTCAATGGCTTAAAGGAAAAGACCTAATAAAGATGATAGCCATATGCTGGACATCTCTTAAGACTTCTGAAGGGATTAAAAGGATATTGTTGGCCGAACAAAAGGGCTGCTACAAAGATTAAGGGAATGAGAAGCTTGATACGCTTAAGATTTACATGTGTCTCTACAGACTAAGTTATGGGTACGCTGAGCATCTGCGGATGTCCATTTCTCTAATCTTTCCCTGCTGCAACCTCCAGACTTCATTCCCCCAGTAGCTTCGAATTCAGGTGAACTCTAATTCCTCTACTAAGCTTCTCTTAAAATTAGGTAATACTAGTACTGAGTCTGCTTTCTGACCAAATCCAGACTAAAACACCTGGCTTCCCCAGGAAAGAGAGCCTGAGGGAGAGATTAAACCTACTACTGTACTTTATTAGAAGGTACAATCCAGGCTTGTAAAAGTGAGGAGGGAAGGAAATAGAACAAGCAAGATGAAAAGCAAATGCATAGTGGGAGATTACTGTACAGCTACCATCGCTGTTTCATGGAAAGCCTTGAAGAGACATTGTTGATCTCTTGGAAAATGCACTTGCTTAGGTACAGGGCACATCTCTGAACAAGATGGATGAAGACAGTGCTTCTAAACAATCTGTCAGAAGGGAAAGAAATTTACCAGACACTTTTAGTGCACTGACTCAGTTAACTTCACTAATTTTCCAGCCTGCATCCCCAACCCTTTTTACAATTAAAAGCCCTTTGGTATGGTTTCATAGAGTAAGAAGTGTTGAGATGGGCCTGAAATTCTGGGTATGTAGCACAGTCACGCACCTAGTTGACCTCTAGCATAGCAATCATATAAGCCTGTTGGCCACCTGTCACTACATAAAATGGTACTTAAGCCAAAGGGAGTGGTCAAGGGCCCAAGAAATAGTGAACCTGAGAACCTTTTCATGTGCTTCTGACGTATCTGATACAGAATCCAAAGGTGGACTATCTAATTGCTACAATAAGGCTGTATAATAAATAGCTAAACTTCAATAGACATTTCTTGCCCACAGAGGTATCAGTAGATCTTGGCTGAGGATCTTTCACCTGTTTGGCGGTTAGCTGGTTGGTTATCAGACAAAATAGATAGGATTCAGCTAGGGTTAGAGATAACCCCGTTCTGCTCCATGGGTGCCTTATTCCTGCCAGACTAGCATAGTCATGCAGCTTTATATGGAAGCAGCAGAAGCGCCAAAGTAAAAAATGCAATAGATTTTTGGAAATGCATACGGCCATGTTCATGACAGGGTATTTCAAAGGAACCTGAGGTGACCATGAATACAGAGAGCAAAGAAGTAGGACCATTTTTGCAGTGTGTCACACACAGAAAATCAAGTACAGCAAACTCCTTGTTCTAACAGGTATTATCTTCTTTTGGAAAGAACTTGAGATTTTATCTGGTTTTGGTTACAAATTAGTCTTTCTGAAGTGTGGGCATCATTTTTTCTTTTGCCAACTGTGAGGCGGGGTTAGTCTTCTTCTTTTCCTACTCCTTTCATGTTTACTTGGCTTATAGAGCCAGTTAAATGGCAATGGATTTTAGCTCAGGAAGTCCAAATTTAGCCCAAAGAAATCCAACTCTGGCCCTGCTTAAATCGACTCAAGCCTCTATATCCAGAGCCAACTTTTAAACATGAAGAAATCTATTTTAATTCCATTCTTATAAAATAATTGTTGACTAAGTAAGCCAGTTAGTTTATTTGGCTAAGACTGTAGGGCTAATGATGTTCAAACCTTATATCCCTTTTGGTGAATAGCATAATACAGTGGTGATCTCAATGGGCCAAACTAAATCAGAAGTCCTAGACCGTAGACTAGGTTCTGCCGCTGTGAAAACTATTAGCAATTATGTAACCTTTTTGGCCTTCAGTTGCCAAATATATATAATAAGGAATTTCTCTAAAATGGCTTGTTTCCCCTGGATGGTAATATGCAAATTCAAGTAAGTGAACGCATACTAACTTAAATAAAGTTCAGAAGGTTTCTTTCAAGACTTTTCAGAATCTTCAATATGATATATCTTTTTAATCCCTAACAGGGAAATATAATGCGCAGCAAACATCTTTTTCATAAAACATGTCATATGTCCCAGCGTACATACGCTGGTAAATGTACTGCTATTCCCCACACCTAATGTATTAGAGTCCCAGAAGAAACCAAAGGCAACTTCAAATGGGGAATCTGAGAAGTGAAATAAAGTGACGATGTACAAAGGCATAGGCAGGGTTTAGAGAAATGAACATGAGAGTGACCTAGTCACAAGGGGAACCCATTACTGCCTGGAAAGTGAAAACAGGCAGAGGAGGGAAAGGGTCCCTACTAGGACAGCATTCTGGAGAGGGACCAGTCAAACCACGGCAAGGCAGGAGCCACAGAAATACATGACTTCATTTTTCCTCTCCACTGCCAGTCTGCTGCTGCTGTTTCTTGTTTGCCGAATCAGAAGAAAAGCCGGAGGCCAAGGACTTATCTCACAGAGGAACAGCCGTGTGAGAGTGAGGTGGGTCCAGGGGGCGAGCCAGCACAGCCGGGCTTCGCTCCTGAGCACTCACACCTGTGATTAAATGATGTCGGCACGCCTGTTTCTCTTTTTGCCTACCCGACCTTTCCTTTTCAGAATCCTTTTTAAGATTGGCTATTTACAGTAGCAGGTCCAGGCTTAGATCATTCCTTGTTCACAATTCCAAGTAATGAAAATGGTAAACACACCCACACACCCACCCACCCACACACACTTTTTTGGGGGTACCAGGAATCAAGCTCATGACCTTGTGCCTGCCAGACAGGCCCGGAGCCATATCCTGGCCCAGTAAACGCACATACAGCACTCGTACCCCCGGTGCTGCTGAAAGGCCCTTCTATACAATCAGTTATTCTTCACAATCACCCAATAAAGTAATTACAATTTACTTGTAAATCAGCGTCTCTGAAGTATGGGCATCATTTTTTTTTTTTTTTGCCACCTTTGAGATGGGATTATTCTTCCTTTTTCTTTTCCTACGCGTTCTATGTTTAGTTGGTTTGTAGTTCTTCAAGTTAAATGGCAACAGATTTTGGCTCAGGAAGTCCAAATTTAGCCCAAAGAAATCCAACTTTGGTCTACCTTCTAGGTGCTGCTGAAAGACCCTTATACACAATCAGTTATCCCTTGTAATAATCCAACAAAGTAACTACTTTATTACTCATTACGAGTGAAAAAGCTGACATATGGCTGGTAAGTGGAAAAGGAAAGGTCAGAGTTCCAGTCAGATGGCTAGCTCCAGAGTCTGCGCATGCAACCACTGTGTCACACTGCCTCCTACAGGGGCCAAAACACTTACCACAGAGGGCCCTGGCGCAGTCGGCTCAGGTGCTCAGCGCGCGAGCAGTGAGTTTCTAGGACGTGCTGGGGCGCTGAGCTTGCTAAACGAGGTCATATGCACATCCCCATGGCAGGAACACAGGATTATTAACAATTTTCCTCTAAGTGAGATGCGAGATGCCAGGCAGATGTAAAAGGCAGGCTGTGTGCACTCAGAGAAAGGGCACCAGGAACTAGACATCTAGTTCTGCCTCGGTGTTGTCCCTAGGCTCAAGGAAATCATGTATCAATTATTTTGTTCTACACAAAGATTCTGACCTCACCTATATCCAAAGGTGGCGCAAAGTTGAACAGATTCAAAGATCTCTACATAAATATCTAACTATAATTTTATATTAAAATATATGTAAAACTATTTGCAATTGGACATTTGTAACTGAAGCTGAGATCTACCAGTTAAGCAAATTAAGTAGACAGCTCCTAAAATAAGTTTTTCAATGAACACTAACTCTGAAACTTGCCCCGGATACAATTTCCTTTCTAAAAATATGAGGTAAAGCAAATTAAACTGGAATTTTTTCAAGTGGTCTTGCAAGCATTACACACAATTGTTTCCCAAGAATAAACAAAAAGCACAAGTAGAAGTTTATTAATTTTAGCAGAATATAATGACAGGTAGCTTGTAAACAACTAATGGGTAAGTTCTGTTGCTTGCTTAGCCCCAGAGTATTTGGCATTTTTTATCAACTGGTACATAAATGAATAGAAAAATAGAAGATTGTCATATTGTCCTTTGTATCTCTCTTTTAATATATCAGTGTGATAGTCTACCAGAAAGTAGTAGATGGCTTCAATTGTGGAAAGGAAAGTATCTGGCTTTCCCTTTTGATGGCGCCAAAAGCAAGTTTTTCTTGTTTTCAACTCCACTTGTAACAACCCTGCCAAAAAAAGAAAGAAAAAGAAAAGAAAAATATAAATACTTCTCACCCACAGAGTATGGTACAATTTGTTTTCTTTATTTCAAGGATTTTTTTTAAAAAGCAGTATAGATACATTCCCCCAATCCAAAATCCAAATAGGATACTGTTTTAAGTGCATTAAGGTATATATAGAAGCAACACAGACTCAGCATGAAATAGTATCCATGACAGTTACCTTTACATCTTAGACCTTGTAGCAAAAGATTAAAAATAGTTAATATTTTAAATATTTATTTATTTCTATTTCCTATCTACCAGTGTCTTTTTAAATTATGATTTGTGACAAGACTAAATTCACCATTTTTTAAAAGGGTTTCATGCCCTTGACAAACTGACTTATAGTTAAAATGTCATACTGAGAGAGACTGGCAACTTACTGGTCCTTAATGCTGGTACAAATATACTTCTAGATTGTCATTTCAGGCTAAATCTTCACGAACAAATACCCAGAGCTGTGGCCTTAGCTCTGCCACATTACACCACACAGCCTCAATTACACGCTCCTAAGAACCCAGACCATCTGTTAGAGACTTGTATTCAGCTGCATGTAACAGAGACCTGGCTAGGGCCTTCTGAACAAGTAGCCGCTTCACTTCACACACACACTCCACAGGGGAGGCACCTGCGCTGTTAGGAAGGCTTCACAGATTATGAAGCACTCAAGACTCCCATGTCCCCACCCACCATCACCAGAGCCTCCACTGAGGTACATATGCCAGGCAAGACAAAAAAAAACACAAACAGACAAGTGAAAAATCTGCCACAGAACCTAGTTTCCTTCTACGATTCACACAGTTATCCTGGTTGTGAGGAAGTGTGGATAATGGTTTTTGGCTGGACACACACCACACTGGAAAGAACGGGTATTTGTTAATATGAGAGAAGGGAATGGATATTAAGAAGCATTGTGGGCATTTTCTGCCACATAATCTATTATGGGAAACACAGATAAACAGATAAAAAATTCAATAGGTTTGGGGAACAGTGGCAGCACTGAGGAGACTCCTGGAGTCTCTACAAGTTTCTCCCAGAGTTGCTACCTCTGTTTAAAACCTGATGGATAAAGAGGTAAGGGAGGGGCAGTAAAGGCCATGGGAGTATCACATTCATAAGGGTAAGAAAAATTTTCTTGCATGCCAGAAAATAAAATAGCTAAAATATCTAGAATCACACATATGAGAATGGCAGCAGAGACTGGAGAAACTGAAAGTATGACTGCCTTTGAACGCCATGCCTTGTAGCTTGCTCTATATTTATCCATGGGGGCTGTGGCATCATTAGAAGAATTTTAAACCTGTTTCTAGCATGGTTAAGTTGTATTTAAGTTTAATGAAAAGAAGGAATCTTACTTCCAGGCCCAGTTCTACCACTAAATACACACAAAGGTGTTTTATTCTTTGTTGTTGTTTTCTGTGGGGAGTGAGAGGGTTGATTATTGGATTACATTTTAAAATTATTATCCATGTGAAAGAAATTTGTAACAGAATGAGTGGACAAATCACAAAAGCCCTTCTGCCTTTAGAATATTCTATCTAGGTATTCTGAAAACATTTCCATTTTTACAATCCTTACTCAAAGACTAACGACTATTATGACAACAAAACCCAAAACTCAGCCTTTTTACAGTACTCATTAATTACAACCAGAGGTAAAGATACACATTCAAAAATGTTCTCAGTAATTAGTTCAATTAAAAGCTTTTATTTCACTTTATGATTATTTATTTTTCAGTTAATTTTACTGACAGCCTCTAAATATACAGAGATGCTGAAATATGTTCTCCAGTATAGAACTTGTGTTTCTATAAAAAAGAAAGGTGTTATTGGGTTAAATGATTTATTTTTTTGGTTTAAAGTAGAACTTTTCCCCCCAGTTATCTTTTAATTACTTTTTAATTACACATGTCATACAAAAATATGTTCTCATTACAAAAAGTAAAAATAATATACATAAAGTAAATCTGATTATCTTTCTCAACAGTGATAATGATTAGATGCTGGTATGTACTTTTTGCTAAAGTTTTTTTAAAAAAATTATATCTGATACAATTAAAATCTTACTATAGAATTTTGGCATAAAATCCAATTTAAAAATAACTATTAAAACATGTTGGCTTCTCAAATGTTAGTATGTTCTTTAAAAATGTTAAGTATAAAATGAAGAACTTAAGCCAGGCATGGTGGTATACTCGTATAATCCCAGCACTCTGGGAGGCTGAGGTAGGAGGATCACAATTTGAGCCCAGCCTAGGTAACCTGATGACTTAGGGAGACTCTGTCTCAAAATTAAAAAACAAAAACAAAGGTCTGAGATGTATCCCAGTGTGAAGTCCTCAGTTCAATCCCTAGCAGCTCAGGAAAAAGATGATTTAGTGATTATTACTACTAATCAAAACTGTTTTAAAAATTTGTTTAATTTGCTGGGAACTATATAAGAACCTTTAAAAACTACTGAAATATGTAGACACTGGATTATATAAAATTATTATTTTTAATAGTTCAACATATACATGTAAAATTCTCTTGTTAGTGCATTTAGTCATCAATAGCTTTTAAAGCACAGACTTACAAGCAGCTTTCGCCTCCAAAATTGCTGCTTGGATTTCCTTAACTGAAAAATAAGGAAATTCTAAGCCCACCTGCACACAATTAGAACTGAAGGAGACCGTCCAGACATCCTGACCAGGATGTTTCCTGGTACAAAGGCACACAGGTGATGCAGTCAGTAGAAATCGTCCTGCAGTGCCTCCTCTCCTCCTGGGCTGGCGATAGGCAGCATGGCACTCGGCACTCAGCACTCTGCACATGCCGGGCAGGGGCAGAGGGACGCAGCACATGGTCAGCCCTGTGGTCCACGCCTGTGGCCTGCAGGCTGCTAAGCGAGGATGTTCTGTGACTTGGGTGTATCAGATGCTCTCTCCACTTACGGAGGTTTAGCAGGATCTATAAGTCAATAAACTTGTGTACGAGGAACAGCACTTACGGTATGAGTGAAGTCTAGGCAATACTTACAGTATGAACAAAAGCACCACCTTCAAGGGTATATCAACAAAGTCAAAATAAGGGAATAGAATTTGAATAGTCTTATAGCAAATTTACAGAATAATGTCATTTTTAGTCATCTGGAACCCCTCCCACAGAAGGAAACCACCTGTTTTCAGCATTTCCCCAAAGCGTCCTACAGTAACCCTCACTCTACACTCACAGGTTTAGGCTGACCTTCTATGACGGAACGCAGCACGCCACCTTCCAGTGTTGCATTTTGACACTGGTAAAACGTCAAGCTATCTTCTTGTAAAGTTTATCAAAATAGTTCAGTTTTACACTTTTAAAGGGATTCTTAACCTCAGCACTGACAATACAACCAGAGATACACAATTTCTAATGCATTACATTTGAAGGTTTAAAATGAGGTTGAGTTAGTTTTCAGCTTAACCCTCTCAAATGATAAAAAGTTTTAAAGCCTAAAGTCAATGATTTGTAATAAATGTGGACTGTTTCCCATGTAACTCAGTTTATCCAGAAATTGATAACTCGCATACATAGCAGTTATACACATGCACAAAGCCCCTCGTATTTCCTGAGTGCGATGAGCAGCCAGAGAGGCAGGGACATGCAGAGAAGCAGTCTCTAGAACTTCCGCAGGACCCTGAAGGGATTCAGAAATCTCTTTTAAAAACTGTGACTTAGTGCAGAACCGAAATGTATGTTTCCTATGTGAAGTGGGAAGGAGGAACAGAAATCTGCAAATCTGATTGTAGGCCAACAGACTTTCAATAGTGCCAAAGTAATTCCTTTTTTAGTTTTTTCAAGGATTTTTCACTTATGTTCTTTCATCTGATCCTTGTAATTACCATATAAGGTAATAATGAAGAAAAATGGCCCAGAAAAATCTCCAAACTGAGCAGTAACTACTATAAACATTCAAGAGAATGTGTTAGGCAGGGCTCTCTTTCCCTCTTTCAAAGAACAGGACCTCAGGGATTCATCTTTATTAAAACATCAACAACAACAAAACCTTAAAGGTCTGCAGTCCACCCTCTCCCAGCTTTCTCTCCCCCCACACTCTCTCTCTCTCTCTCTCTCTCTCTCACACACACACACACACACACACAAGCACAGAGAGACAACTGGGTTGCCAAGCATCCTTGCTAACACTTAAGGAAATCTCGCATGAAAAACTCTATGACTTAAGCTCATTAAATGCAGTGCTGTCACACAGTTTAGCTTGGGACTGATTAACACAAATCAGACACCAGAAAGGCACGAACTGTCTCTTCTAGATGATGTTCATTTCTAACAATAGCCTAAGAGAGACTGCTAGGCGGGACTTTTGGCAACTGCTTAATATCAACTGGGTAGCTCTCTTGCCTTCTACTCATACCAAACAAAAACTATCAAACAGCTAGGGGAAAAAATAACTGAAGTTTTTAGATGAACTACTGAGAAAGTCTGAAGAACTGTAAGATACAAGGGAGCAGAGGCAGTTCGGGCTCCCACTTCAAATTGCTAAGTGTGTTGAAGGAGGAGCAGCGGAACTACATCAAACCACTGCTACTAGGAACTAACTAGTTCACTCTAAGAGAAAGGGACACAAATTTAAAACGAAAAACGATTCCTACAATATTAACTTTGAATAGGGAGCATCCATTGAATCCATATATCTATTTATTTTTCTTGGCTCCATCCACTGACTCAATGACAGTCCAAGAAGAGATGAATTTACCAGACCTTAATTTCTATTATCATTTCCTATTGAAAGGAACCACAGGGTTTTAGAAAAATGGTCAATTCCAGTTCTTGGGCAGGGAAAAATTCCAAGCGAATCTGAGATATTCATAAACACTGATGAAGCCATGCCAGGAAGATTTTGAAGCATTCTCAGTGGCATTCCTTTGAGACAATTTGAACATTAAAAGAACACAACGATGGTAGTTTACAGTACATTAAATTATAAAGAAAATAGGTAATTGCAAAAAGACGTGTATGCTGGGCAGGATGGCAAAGAGCTGTACTCACCTACACTGCAGACTGAGGTGGGATGACCAAAGTATTGAGGCCAGCCTAGGCAACGCAGTGAAAACCCATCTCAGAAAAAGAGAGAGAAGATGTAGTGTGAAAGAGAAAGAAAACAGGGAAAAAGGAAGCCTGCATAAGAACGTTCGCTAGTTAGGCACAGGCATGACGGTGTGTGCCTATCGTGCCACTTGGAAGCCTGTAAGACCAGCCTGGGCAATGTGGCAAGACTGTCTTTAAAAAAAAAAAAAAGAAGAAAGAAAAAGATGGACAGCTAACACACATGGAAGAAACAATATATAATTTCTCGATCTTTTAATTCTCAATGTAATTGATTTAAACCATCATCAATGCATGCTAAAAAGCTGTAGAAAATATCTATGAAAGCATCACTCCACAGATTACTATTAAAAATAATAAATCTTCATAGTGCAGAGATGTGACAATCATCACATTAATCAAATAATTATCACAAATACTAGAACGACTTGTATTATATACCCCTAGCTGTAACACAACAATAAGTATACAACTTCTTATGAATTGCTTAACCACATAATGATCAGTTAAACAGGTCCATTTCTGACAATGAAAGGAGATACTATTAATAATTACACCAAAACAATAAGTAAAAATTGGAACGGGCACAAATAACCCTGACTTTATCATTACTTCTAAATACACTAGCCAGGAATGTTCACACTGCACCTAATCACGGTAAGATACTCAGACAAAGTGACCTGTCCTCCTCACAAATTCTAAGTCACAGAAACACAAGAAAGGAAACTGTCTTAGGGGAGACTAAAAATACAGAATAATCTAATGAAATGTGAGGAGTTGAAATGATGCGTCAAGGGGGAAAAACTATAAAAGATATTTCTGGGTCAGTTACTGAAATTTGAATACAGACTGTCTATCAGATAATATTTCAGAATTTTGTTCATTTTCATAAGAGTGATAATGGGATTGTATTAATCATGGAGAATATTCTTATTTTTAAAAGATGCATACTTAAGTTTTTAAGGGTGTAGTATTGCAAAGCCTGCCCCTTCAAATGCTTCAACCAAAACTACATATGCTATAGGAATACATATATACACATAAAATATAGAAAGAAATAAAACAAATGTGGCAAACATAGACACTGCATGCAATTCTTTCACTATCTGCAAGTCTGACATTGTTTCTTACCCTGAAGCCGCTCATCAGTGACTATCTTGTTTGTCTGATTCCAGGTGCTATCTATAAAGATGACTCTTTTCAGGGTTGTGCCTTTGCATTTGCCGTCACTGAAATCACAGCTCTCCTGTTCTTCAGTTTTCTTGCGTTTAATAGATGGCCTCTCAAGGTCATCAGTTTTGCCTTTATTTTGAGTCCTTTTTTGCAGATGAAGAGAAATATCTTTTATTGAGATAGACTGAGGGCCAGGAAAAATAAGTGCAACCTAAAACAAAGAAATTCAGGTTAGTCATATGCTACTGTGATTTTCAGCATAAACTGTGATTAACTTAAAACTTTAAAGAAAAAATATGCTGAGTATCTGAGAAGCATTAGGCTGGTTCTATTATATGTAGACTTCTTACATGTATGGTAAAGTTTTTGCCTCTTCCCCAATAATTTGTAATCATAATACACTACCTAAAAGTATTATTTCAAAATAAGTTATGAACTGATTTTGAAGGCAGTGTTAATAGTACCTTAAATCAAAGAACTAGCATTTTATAAAAGGGCAAGTACATGATACTTGCCGCTACTCATCACCGGGTTAAGTAGTACAGTACAGTTCTATTTAATCAATATAAACAATATCTAGCTGAACAGGAAACACAAACATATTCCTAGATCCAAAACTCAGGTATCATTTACAAACGCAACTTTCTAAATAAGTTCAACTATACAGATAGGTAGGTAGGAAGACCAAAGTATATGAGATAGGAAAGTAAAAAACCTTATAAAGTTCCTTCTGGAACAAATGAATGTATTAATTTTTATGTTGTTTCTACATTAACCATACCTAAACAGAGCCTGTGTGAAACCTGAAAGGGTTTACACGCTTCTTTTAGAAGTACCCAAGGCCTGATGTTTTTCAGCTCTACTATACAATCATTTATCAGCAAGAGGACCAGGAATATTCCATTCATGTGACAACTTCAGCATGTGAAAATCAATTAAGATTGTAGAAATGAACAAGACATCTAGGCAGCCAAAAGAAATATTACAAAGGGTATGTGTTAACACTTTCAACTTAAGGAGGATTTGAAAATCCTTCTAACTAAGTCTTTATTTTCTTCTTATGGAGACATTCCAACATTTCTAATTTGGTTTGCCAGTGTGTATCAAGGGAGACCATCTACCTATAGGATAGGTCATAGAACAGTGAGGAGAGAAAAAAAAAAGCAGGTACAGTAATACTGGCAAAGAATAAAACCCTGAAAAAATAAAGCAAGAATACTATTAAAAATTAGTAAAAGATTCAAAAAAGTATATGAGTTTAGGATCACTTGACCTGTGAAAATATCGATGAAGATGCATGTTGATTAATGTTAATGAGCATTAAACCAGATATTAAGAAAAATATTAAATCATGTTCAAGCAAATTCAAGTGGGGTTAGAAATCTACTTTTATATTCATTTTGAAAACTTGTTAAAAAAAATCTGCCTACTTCATGGTCCTTTTCTTCATATTCTGGAATACAAGGGTATGTGTAAATATTGACAAACTCAGGTGCTAAGAGTTTTGCATGGATAGCAGTGCTTTTGCCATCTGTTTCATTTGGATGTTTAATAATGTCAATCTTCAGAGGCAGCTAAAGTAAAAGAAAAAAAAGGACAAATGAACAAAACAAATATAAGATTTGCAATCTGCATTTAATAAAAATGGCCTTTACAGCTAAACACCAAGCTCACAGTAAGTTCCTACATAAAGTCAAACTTTTCTAGACCAGAATATAAAGAATGGAAGAAGTCCTAAAGCAAACCCACATTTCTTCCTCAATATTGTTAATCATGAACTAGAACAATGATTTCCAACTTATTTAACATGTAATCTGCTCTTAAAACAAAGAACCATTTAGGTTATATGGGTGTTGAGTCCAAATCCTCACATTTCAGTATCTATGCCAAGAACATATTTTATAGTTCCTATAAACTTGAGGTTTATTTATTTTATGGTATTTCAAAAGGAAATTCAAGTTTGAGCATTACTTCAGACTTAAAATTTAAGTTGAAATTGTGTTCTATACCCTTTCAGATCAGCAGTATTATCCTTTGTTATAAACATTGTGACTTTCTGCAGCACATTTTAACAGCATAAATTAAACAATTACCAACTAGGAAAACAGTAATAGAATAGGTCTAAGGGGTATAATCTATATCACAAATACCTCTCTACAAAATTATCTTGCCCAAACATTTCCCTTACTGATCACAGTTTGTTAAGGATTACATAATGCCTCTGTGCAAAAATAATACTTTCTCAAACTTCTTGAATTAGATTTTTCTATTATTTCACTTTGATTTATTTGGTTTAGCTCTTGTTCTAATGCCCACACAAGTCCTGTGTTCAGACATGATTACGAAAACGAACGCTGAGTCGTATCTCCTCCATTCTATACCAGCAACCCTCCCGATATGAGTTCTTCATTTCAGACCTTAAGAGGACTTTGTTCTATGCAAGGTACTCTCCCTAACCTCCAGACCCCCATTAGACACCCCCATTAGGAGGTAGGAATCTAGGATTTACCCTGAGCCATGCAACAAATTTACCTTGGAATAGAAAGTTGTTTTTCTTGGGTTTAAAAGTACACATATCTGAAGTGTACAATCTAATATTAAAGTTTCAATGTATATAACATCTGTGAACCAATCACAACAATCAAGAGAATGATCTGCCACAATCAGGTCTTCCAGTTCCCCCTCCTGTGCTCCTCCCCATCAATTACGCCCCCTAGTCCTAGGTGATCAGCTGCCTCTTTAGATTAGTGTGCATTTTCCAGAATTTTATATAAATGGAATCATTTACCATGCACTCTTCATTTGCCTTCTTTAACTTAGAACAATTATCCTGAGATTCATCCATATTATTAGTTTCAAAGCTATTTTTACACGAGCAGTTGTTGTATACTACTAAGAAGACCCGATTTCATAGTTTTCTTCCTTTCTAGACAGTCATGTGAGCACAGTATGGTATAAGTAATATACCCTAGAAGGACCCCTGCCCACAAATTAGAACCTCAAATAATTTCCAATTATGGCTTCGAAGACTTATCTCCTACCCCCCCCACTTAGGCCTAGTAATCATGTACAAGTTAGAGCCAGTTGTTCAAACTGTCAAACCAACACCTAGTTACAGAAAATTTACCATGTAAGTAGGCAGTTCTTAAATTTTTTTTTTTACATCAGTCTACTTCTGGTTGATGCTCAGTCTCAGTTGACACTATATTCCCTCTCTCCTCAGGTCTCTGAGTATCAGCTCAGCATTATCTTATCCCAGGGGTAGTAGGAAAGAGGAAAGAAAAAAAGAGCAGGTGGTGACAAGGTGTTCTATGACAAATAAAACTGACTTTCTTACATGGCTGAGGCGTAGAGTTGAAAATTCTAAAAGCTGTCACCAACCAATATCCTGGCTATTTTGGAAGACAAAATTTATATCAAGAACACAGGACTGTTATTAATTAATTTTATGCATTTATAATTAACTTTATAAATGTACTTAGACTATTTTTTAAACAACACAATAGGAAGGGAAAGTTCTATGGACTGCGATCTTCAAGTATAAAACAATTCTGCCTAATTTGTGAACCTGAGTTCTCTAACTGAGTTGGCCTGAGATTTCTAACACCATGAAACCAAAGCACAGAAACAGCCAAGTAAGTAAAATGTCTTTCAATTCACACATTTTACAGGAAGATACACTTTGAAAATGACAGGGTAGAGAAGGCAGTTGGAATGGAGGTGTTGGCTTTGAATATAAAAAGAGTATCAATCGGTCCTCTAATATTTATGTTTCCTACTACACATTTACTACAAACGTTTCTGCCCAAATAGACTAAAGTCCTATTAGCAGGGAGACCCAAGCATTTTTCCTTCTGATTACCATCTTTCCAAAAAACACACCGAAGAAAGCCTTAGAAAGTCATCTTTTAAGCTGGGACTCTAATAAAATTGAATTTTTGTACTGTCTGATTCTTTTCTTCCCTTTTTGAACAACCCTAAGAGCACTATTTATCTTTTTAAGTTCATTTTCTTACTGGTTTAAGAAATTCGTACTCTGCATTAAACTATAAGTATTTATGAATTTATTCCCTAGACCAGAATTTAAATCTTGGGGGACTTACTCATTACGTTGTCATCCCGCCTTCCCAAGCAGGCTATCTAAAAGCAAATGTTGAAGGATTCATTAAAAATCAGCCAGTACTCTGGGAGGCTCAGGCAAAAGGATCACAGGTTCAAGCTCTACCTGGACAACTTAGTGAGCCCCTGTCTTAAAATTTAAAAATTTTTAAAAGGCTAGGGATGTAGCTCAGTTCAAAGATCCTAGGTTCAATCACCAATACCACATACATACATACACAGCAGGAATTAGAACATGTTATTGTTTTACTACTATTAATATATGTTAATATAACAAATTGTATATGTGGCCACTAAAATATAAACAGTTTAGAAAACTCTGTACAGTCCAGACCACTCAGAATTGATCAAACACTTGGCATAATATTTTGAATCATTTCTACTAAACAGTGGACATCAACCTGCTGATTTGGAAGAATACTCTTCTGTTACTATATTCTATGAAAATATCAGACCAATAAATGTATCATTGGCTTTTATTTTTCCGATCTGCAACCCTTTCTGAACACAGTAACTCTTCAGATAAAATTTTAATGAAATATTTTATGTGACCATGATATAAACAGAAGATAGAATAATTCCATAGTTGAAAACTATGAAGTGTAACATTCCCGTAAGATAATGGGAAACTTAAAAAAAAATCATTAACCTCAATCTCTCAATTTTTCTGAGCAAACTGTTAAGGTATTTCCTTATTTTTGGTCAGCAAATTTTCCATTCCTTTGAATGTGTGACTTTAGATCCCTGAGACCACAGCCTCGCAAAGATGACACACAGGCTAAACTAAAATTCAAGCAGAAAATGAGGGAAAAGTGCTTTTCATATTTCAAATTAAATAAATCTGAAAAGCACAATAAGAATTTTGGAATACAGCTGCAATTTACTTCCTCACTGGCAAGTCCTAAAGGGACCATGTACACAATATGGTCTCTCTAAAGTCCTAACAGATACCAATCATCTTCTATATATTATTTGATTTATTCCTAACATTTGGGTCAGTGCTACAGAAGTTAAGATACGTGCAATAAATTCTGATCATGCATAATGATCTATGGACATCGCACCTATATGAAGCAGTCTTGGAAGGCACCAAAAATATGTAAGCAATCAATTCAAATGAACTTTTAAATCTGGTTTAAAATCACTACAACACAGTGCAACAAACAGGCTTTTCTCCTTTATATTTTAGTTTAGTTGAGCTTAGATCATTGTTATCTGCTCCATTTTTACACACAGCACAGAGCTAAGTCACAAAAGCCTAGGGGAAAATTAACACTAGTTTGATTAGGACAGTGTTTTCTCAAGAGCAGTGAAACAACCAGAGGTAGTTTTTGAAACTTCAAGTAAGCTTATGAACTTGTCTTTTCAGTATTCATGTGTATATTATACTTTTTTCCTATATTGTAAATGCTATAACTATTAATTTAAAAATACTTAATTTCACTAAAAATACCAACCATTTCAGACTCAGGTGTTTTTCCTGAGAGAAGAAAAACAAACAGGTTTAGTAACCTGCAGGACTAAATTCTCCACTAAGACAATCTGTTTTCATAATGACATATTTATCAAGTTTATCAATTATTTTAGAACAGGCATGTGTGAAACATCTTTTCAAATTCTATTTTCCTACTTTTGAACAAATCTTACTGACCTTCACAACTGGAATCTGTTCAATGGGTACATTTTCAACTGGGACATAACAGGTATAGCAGTAGAACATCCTTGAGCCACCGCACTTGAGACATTTTGACCTCCCACTCTGCTGAGCTTTTCGAAGAATTTCTTGAGATGCTAAGCACAAGTTTTGAAGGGGGTCTTCTGAAGCTATGAAAGTAGTTTGTGATTGCTTTGTTTCCACAGATTTTACATTATTTTCTTCACTTTCTTGAAGAAATACAGATGGACTGACAGACATTCTTCTTTCAAGTCACAGTTCAAGATCTACTTCTAAAACACATATCATAGGTGTGCTGTTAAACAAAAAAGTAGGAGCAAAATTAAAACAGGAAACATTTTACTCACTGTCTCTACAAAAAAAATTACTCACTTTAATTCACAACTATGTGCTGGTCCTAGAACTATTAACAAATATTAGTGAGTTTTAAAACCACTAAATTGGCATGCCTTAAAATATAAAACCAAGAAGCAATAAACTCAAAAAAACCAAACAATATTTATCTTTTTGGACCATTCCTTCCAAAAAAGGCAAGTACTGTCTTAGAAAAATTACTTCAAATGTAAAGTTCAGGTACTGACAATCCATTTTTCTAGTACCTTTTTTGTCCTAGAGATGGCAATTATGTTTTAGAAATGAATTCAATGGTTGCATGTCCATGTCAGCAGGAATATATTTAACTCTGTAGACTGTTACTCTGAATTAACATTATAGGGCTTGACATTAAATCTCATGGTGAACTCCACTGAAATTAAAAGGCTGCAGTAATATCAATAAAAGTTAGTTCAATATTGTGATATATAACTCCTTCACCAAGACAGGTCATAGAAATACTCATTTTATATTCTCCCATTAACTTTGCCCACCCTACTTCAGAAAGTGCTCGGCCCCTGCTCAGCAGGAAGGAACGTCAAAGAATCTAACAAACAGGCCTTGCTGAGATTCCCCGTCCAGACAACTAGCCACCGTGTCATCTCTAGCAGGGGGTTAGGGAGCTTCTAGACAGCTGAACACATGGAGGTTCACAGAAAGGCAACTGGGGCCACAGGACAGGTGGGAAGCACACTTCAACTCCACGGGGTGAAGCCCCTGCACCAGGGAAACTTCGCCTTCTCCCGCTGCATCTCTTCATCTAGTCGTATACCTGTGTCCTCCAAATACAAGTATGGACTCTCCCTGGATTCTGTGAGCCACTCCAGCACATAACTGAATCTGCGGAGGGGATTATGGAAAACCCCATGTGTAGCCTGCCATAGACGTTCTGGAGGCCCCGACTTGCAACTGGGTCTAAAGCTGGCGCTGTCTTGGGGTGTAAACCCTCAACTGGAGGCTCTGATACAATCTCCAGCTAGAGTCAGAACTGCATTCAATTCCAGGACTCCCAACTGCTATCTACTGCAGATTTGCTTGCGCGCTGGTGAGAAGAAATCCATAAATCCTTTGAGGTGTTTTCCATGTTGACTTTGGTGTGAGAGCAGAGAAAAAATAAGACACTTTGTTTTTCCTAACACAAATGTGTTCTAAAATATTTATTCTTCTCCAACTTAAAACATACCACGAAAAAAAGACATCTACTACCAATTATAATTTGTAAAGTATCCCATAACGTCAAGTACATGATTTTAGAAGTTTTCAATTTTTAGAGTAACATTCACATTCAAAGAACATATAATGCTTTTTAAAAATATACTACACCATTCAGATTTTTTAGTACTAGAAATAAAATAATAAAATAACATTCCTGCTTAATATTTTCTTCAAAGAAGGGTGATGGCTGCCACAATCATTACTTGCATGCCCTGGATGCAAGATATCTTCCAAGGGAGAAAAGAGACTGAGGCTCTATTGATTTGCTATGCATTCCACAGCTGTAAAATGATTCTCTTACTACAAAGGCTTATGACATTGTGGTGTTTACGAAGTCTTTCAGTACAAACACGAAGAGGAGAAAGGCTGTGACTCTAATCGGAAATTTTTTGTGGTCTCCCAAACAGAAAGTGAACAAAAAGTCCAGACAAACATAAAACATAATTAGCTAACAAGAAGTTTGTGATGCTAATTTAATTACTCAAGAGTTTTTTGTTTTGTTTTGTAAATCCCAGTGAGTTTGAGACCCAAATGAAGAATGTGAAAAAAGAATGCGGGTTACTGAAGGAAAAGGTACCTGCCAAATTTACCCAAGAAGAAAACCAAAATACACACAGTAGGTATTTTTGTTGTATAGGGATTAGGCACAGATTTACATTTGAAGGGGTTCAAAGAAAGCAGTATTTGAAACTGATGGTCCAATCCCCTCTTCCTGCCTCACAAATGGAAAATATTATTTACTTCTGACTGCTACTCCAAATCAGCTGCTTAAAAAAGGCTTCTAGTCTTGTGAACATACCTCTGGGGACTAGGAGAGTGTAAATACATAACTGCCACCTTTTCTTGGAATCTCAGAAGCCTTTGGGGAAAAGATGAAAATCTTATAGCTTATCCCTAGAAAATGCATATGGCAGAACCTTATTTTCCACGCAACTGTAGGTGTTTTGCAGAATCTAGTTACAGATCCAAGAAAAGACATCCTAAGATATAAAATTCCCTTGAAGAACATAAGCCACCTTAAACACTGGGGAAGAAAGCAGGCATGGTGGCTGTAATCCCAGCACTCTGGGAGGCGGAGGCAAAGAGCACAAATTTGAACCCAGCCTAGGCAATTCAGCTACTTAGTGAAACATTGTCTCAAAATAAAAACTAAAAAGAGCACTGAATGTGAAGTTTAGTGTGAAAGCCTTAGGTTCAACCCCAGTTCCAAAAAAAGTTTGGGAAGAGATCCTATAGCAACTGTTGTCAGACCAAGTGTCAGCTATTACAAACCAACAGAGTCCAGCATTGTTGCACTCAGGAAGCTAATTACGTTTCAGCTATACTCTTGATTTGGACTGTTCTAGTGTCACTCATGGTCCTTCCTGAGAACTATTTTAAAGCTATAACAGTTCTGAGTTATTCAGGGCATGGGACTTATCCTAAAAAGGACTAGACTGATTCAATACAACTTCATTCCCCTGGGTACTTCAGTGGCTACTTACTGGTTTTGCATGTGGAACCAGTGGGTCTAGGCCCAGTGGGGCTGAAGAATGCATTTCGTGTGGATACCATCAAAGTCAATGTGATTGCCTGATACTCAACCAAAAACTACTGGTGAGTCTTTGGAAATATGGTAGAGCCCACAACCTGCATTGGATTTTGAGATGTCTCAAGAAACACAACCCTGAATTTCACAGGCCTTTTACTCACATTAACTAAACAGATATTATGGAAACCTTCCTCTGCAAAATCAAACAACACAAATGCCTTCGAGGAGACAAAGGAAAATGTCTCTGACTCACTACCTCACCTGTCCACTCTCATCTATCGCTGAAGTGGCTACAGTTGTAAATCATGGACAGCTGCCTGTGAGTCCCTCAAATCCTGTGAGCAGGGAATGTGCCTCGCCCTAGCCAATACTCTGCCTCGAATGTGCACGAGTAATTTATTGCAAACATGGTTAGTGAAAATCTTCAAGCTGTACCTCTTAGCATCAAAAATGTGTTGGGGAAATGTAACTGGAGTTGGGGTTTAGAAGACTTAGAAAACATAATGGCTGTTATTAAGAAAAAGACAGTTTTAGCATCTCTGTATCCACCGCCTACAATTTAAGCTGAAAAAATTAATTTTTTACTCTTCCCTCTAGCAATTTCCAAAAAACTAATTATACTCACCACGCTGCATCATTTCTACCATGCACACAACCTTCTATTTTCAGACCCAAAGTCAGGACTCTGGTTCATTTCCCTGACATTCCCTAAGTAAGCTACAGTAATCTCTTCCACCTCTTTCCCTCTGAGTACTTATTGGTTCCACACATCTGATATGGAAAGATGTACTTAGTATAAAGTAAACTTCAGCAAAGCTCAAATCCTAGAATTCTTTCCTAATCTTACATATTCCCGAGTCTTGTGAAATAGGAGGAATTCTACAAATATTTCTTAACTAAACAAAGCCATTCTGAAAGGTCATACAGTAAGCACAATGCTACTGATGTACCTGACAAACGACCTTTAAGGGCCATCTGCAGCCTGGCCCAAGTGGCAGCCTGGACACTTTTTTTTTTTTCCCTACACAAAACAACAAAGGAAAAGACTCCCACCTTTTCCATCACAGTAAGTTAACCCACTTCTCCATGGAGCCTGCGTGAAATCCCTCTACCCTGTACGGTGAACCAATTCAGTGCTATGTAAAACTCACTTCAAATTTTCTTTGTGGAGTATCTTTAAATTTTTACTAGTACATGTTTACAGCACGTTTGCAGCCATCTTAGGGAGTAGGTATATGTACTTAATATATGTTAATTCTTTTTATCGCCCCACCACCAGCATTTTCGGATCCCCTTCCATTGCCAAAAGATCTGTTTCCTACTGCATATTTTTAAGACGGGGCCCTCTAATATATACAGGTCCAACATTCATTTTTTTAAAAACCAAGAAACCCATGCTTCTGTACTGGTCTGGCGTCTCCACCCACAGCATCCGCCATGGAGTGGGCACTGTCTGGTCTGTTTTCCATGGTGCCCAAAGAGTCCCTCATGTTGTACCAATTTTTATCACCCCGTCTGTGGGACTGGCTCCTGAAAGTGTTCACACCACTCCGTGGCTGTCTTACGTCCCCAGGGGCAATCCGGGCCGCGTCCACCCCTGCTTCCTGCGCGGCCACGCTCCCGGCCCGGCCGCACTTCCGTGCTCAGCACCCCTGGGAGGCTCGCAAAGACTGCAAAGGACTGGCGCCTGGGGACTGACTCGGAAGGACAGGCTTTTCCTGGGTGCCAAGCTCCAAAATCATTGTTTGGGGAGTGAGAGGAGAAATTTGGGAGCCTTTTTCCCACTGGGCCCCCAACATCCGACAAGCGCAAACGCCCGCGCAGAGCACAGGGTCCCTTTCCAGGGGCCGCCGGCACGACCTCCGCCGGGGTCCTGACACGGAAGGGTCACTGCCCTGGCCACGGCTCCCGCCGGACCCCGGCTCAGCCCTGGGGACCTGGAGGGACTCAGACCTGCACAGCCCGCCAGCCCGCGCGCGGCTCCACGCGTCTTCCGCTCCACCCCGGCCCAGGTGCGCGTCGGACAGCACCGCGACGGACCGGCGGAGCGCTTTCGGGGAGACACCGGTGGGCGGGACCAAGCCGTTGCTAGGGCCGTTGCTAGGGCTTTGCTGGGGCCGGGTACTGCGCAGGCGCCGCAGCGAAGGCAACGGTCGGGCCGACGGCAGGGAGGAGCTAGACGGGAAGTCGCGCCTGGGCCCCGCCCGCGGCGGGCGGTGTCTCCGGGTCTGAGGCTCCCGCGCGGGGTGAGGCGGCCTAGGGCCTCACGGCCTCCGGCCCAGCGCCCAGCGCCCGGCCCCTGCGGCGAAGTTCCAGATAGACTTGCCAGGCGTAGTTGCAGTGAGTTGTGAAATCGCACTGACCTCACGAACGCTGCGCGTGTTGCCAGTCCCCGAACGTTTCGGTCGCGAGAACTTGGTCCTGTTACTTTTCTGTGCGCTGTGTAAAGTTTTTCGCGTGCCTTATAGCAGTTACAAAAACCACTGGAAGTGAAGCGTCCTGCGTGGGTAAACTGTGGCGCCATTTTTGGTGCCCCATCCCCCAAAAACCCCAAAGGGAAGGAGTGCATTCAGCAGTTGTAAGATTTAGAAGCGCAGAAGTCAGATATTGAATGGTCAGCTATGGATTTAGCAAGCGGGACAGGAAGGACGGGACCTGGCTCTGGCAAGTGCAGTACATAAGATGCAACATGAATAATAAGTGGAAAGAATTTCCACACGACAGAATTCTGGTGATGGGTTCGGTCAATGGTTTTCTTTTTATCTGAAAGAGAAAAAAAACGGCAACGACAAAAACAAAACACAGAAACAATAAAAATGATAGAGGGTGTTGCATAGGATGCAGTGGTGGAGGTCCCGTGGCGTCTAAAGAAAATACACTTTTTAAATAATGAAATAATGCGGAGTGGAAGTGTCAGTGCATGGCACTTAGAAAAGTTAGGTATTGCTTTGTAGAGCTTTCAGTTCTATAGGTGCTCTTGTGCATGCACTGTTTTGTGTTTGTAAAACATATTTCTTGTTGTACGATACTCTGAAAAGTTTAAAGGTCACTGATTTAGGGGGAAGATGACCTTTGTGGACAGAGAAAGTAGCAATGACAAAGTCTGTCTGCCAAAAATAAAGAATTCCTATCCATTTTCTTTTTAAATTTAGCTCCTAGTTGTATCAAAGCAATTCAGTTGCAGAAAGTAAAAAGTACATGATTTTATTTTCTAGAATACTAAAACATGGTAGCCTGAAACAACCATTTTATTAAATTGGTGAGTTCTGTGGTTAGTAGGTCACAGTAGACCATATTTGCTCTGATAACGGGTAAAACCAGGCTTGCTACGGCTAGCAGAGCTCTTCTTTACAGCCTCTTCATGGGGCCTGAGCGCCATCTCAGCAGGGTAGCCCGGGCCTCCAAATGGAGCACTCCATGAACTGCCATCTTTTGACCCAGAGTCTAGTAATAACAGTGTTACTTTAAGAATTTGAAACAGAGCTTTAAAAATTAGGATTTTTAAATTAAGATGTTTCTGCACAGCAAAGGAAACAACCAATAGAGTGAAGAGAAAACCTCCCGAATGGGAAAAAAGTCTTGCCAGCTGTTCTTTGGGCAAAGGACTAATATCTAGAGTACATAAAGAAGCTTGAAAAAATTAGACATCCCCCTCTCCCAAATAAAAGACTTGATCAAAACATGGGCAACTTCTTCTGAGAAGAAGTACAAATGGCTAGTACATGAAAAGATGTTCAGCATTGTTGGCCATTAGGAAAAACCAAGTTAAAACAACACTGAGAGTCCATCTTCAGAAAGAATAGCTATCATCAAGCAATCAAATAATAAATTGTGGTGAAGCTTCAGGGAACCCTTCTTCATTTTTGGTGGGTCTGAAAACTAAGTACAATTAGTATGAGAATTCCTCAAAAACTAAAACTAGACATTCCATTTGACCCAGCTATTCTAGATATCTTCCACAAAGAGTTAAAAGACATCATATTACAGTGATGCGTGCACACCTATGTTTATAGTAACACAATTCATAATACCTAAAACTTAGAAGTGGCCTATGTGTTTAACAACATAAATGGATAAAGAAAACATGGTTTATACACAATGAATTACTACTTTGCCGTCAAGAAGGATAAACTTCAGTCATTTGTAAGAGAATGGATGCACCTTGAGACCATAAAGCTAAGTGAAGTAAATCAGACACAGAAGGTTAAATATTTCATAGTTTCTCTTATTAGAAGAACCCATAATATAACTAAAAAGCAAAATAAAAGATAAATAATAGGAAGTAGGAAGCTAGATTTTTTGCAAAAGGGAAGGGAACCAAGAGATGGAGGGGTCAGAGGAGAGGGAAAGGAGAGGAGGTGAAGGGGATGAAAAAGAATTAGAACATGTTATACACATGTACTAGTGCCCCATGAGGAATGTAATCATTATGTACTAATAAAAAATAAAAATTAAAAAAAAATTAGGACTTTAAAGCTAAGCTATTTTTTTCCAGCTTCCACATGCTGAGAGCAACAACTGCCACCCCCAGCCCTGGCACCAAGAAAATTTTAACAAAATCAGACTTGCAGTATTTTCTGGGCATGCCAGTGGGCCAGAGCCTTGCTGAATCTACACATACATCTTCCTGTATGTGCACAGGGAGGGAAGGAGCTTCCCTCCCAATGTGGGTAAATTGTAAATAAACTCATGTTCCCACTTTTATGACCTTTCCTCATGCTCTTGTTGGTGGGCAGGCCAACAAATCCAGATAGTCAGGGCCCAGATCCAGGTCTCTGGACAGGCTCGCAGTAGTAATTTCCCTCATATTCTTTTGCCTTCAGGTGAGAAACAAGGCCTGTTCATTTATGGAGAGGAGACACAACCCACTTCTCAATAGATTGTTAAAGAATTTGTAGCCATTTGTTAAAAAGCCAACCTAGTGAATTTAGTGCTCTCACAGAAAATCCCAAATATCAGTGATCTAATAAAATAACAATTTCTGACAAACAATCCAATATGAATGTCTCTAATCAGATGAAATGTTAGACTGAAGGACACAGATTTCTTTCTACTTTAAGTAGTTCTGATGTTCTTTTGAATATTTCATCTGTTATTTACTCCATATGTCTAAATATGCTTACATTGCAGTTTCTTCATTTTTCAATTTCACACATTATCCATTGACTTTTTCCTAAGGAAGAAAATTATATAAATGGTTCTTTTATAACACCATCCCCAAACTGTGATCAGACCCTCTCCCTATTGACAAAAGAAGGGACCAAAAAAGGGTGTGTCAATAGGGAGAGGGTCTGATCATAGACCTGAACTGTATAGTGAGACCCTGTCTCAAAAAGACAAACAACAACAACAACAAAAAACAAACAAAACTAAATTGGTGAAAACAACCAATCTGGAAGAGAGTAGAGGTTAAAATGCTCTGGAAGGAATAACTGTAAGGGGGAGGGAATACCAACGAACCTAACCTGCTAGATTAATTGATGTCTTTGTTATGCTTTATCATTTTGACAGGGTAAGGACAAATTACTAATAATTACATACACATAGCAATAATTAAGGAAACTAAAAGGCTATATTAAAAGTTAATGTGATCACAATGTACTATGTGCCACGGGATTACTGTTTACTTAGATACAGTAGTAATAACACTAAATTTTTTTTAACCTAAAACTATTTTATCACATCCTAATTTTCAGAACCTAGGGATATGTTATCTTATATGGCAGAACAGACTGCATCTCTAATTCAGTTAAAGATAATTAAAATTGGAAAATTACGCTGGGTTACCTGGATAACCTCACATAATCACAGGGTTTATAAGAGAGAGAAGAGAGATCAGAGAGGAGACAGTGTTCTATCTGCACTGCTGGTTTTGAAGTTGGAAAAAATCGTGAGCAAAAGAATGCAGGGTTCTGCTGGAAGCTGGAAAGGATATGGAAGCAGATTCTTTCCCAGAGCCTCCAAAAAGAGAATAGTCCTGCAGCCCAGTTTCAGGGTTCTGGCCTCCAGAACTGAGATAGTAAATTTGTGTTGGTGTAAGCCATTAAGCATGTGGTAATTTGTTACAGCTGTAATATGAAATAATATGGAGAGAAATGACGATTCTTTTAGTACTTGCGGATGTTAAAAATGCCACATGTCTCTCCCATATTTAAATTATAAATTGAAAGTCATTCTCCTGAAATAATCCTCTAACTTCTTATGTTTTTCCCTTTGATTCTTGCTTTAATATTTTTATTCTAGTTTCTAGAAGATTTCTTCAGCCTTTTTTTCATAAAATCTTTTGACTGTACCATTATATTTGTACTTTACATTTTTTCTTACTATCTATTCACTTACAACATGCTGTTTTAGTTTCAGAGATGCATTCATTACCTTATTATAGTTCTTAAGAATCTCAAGGATTTTTTTAAAAAAATATTCTGTTCCTTACATTGTTTGTGTATTTCCAGAGTTTGGTTTTAGTCTTTTTAAAAATTCATATCTTTTGTTGCTATCTTTTTAAAATAGTCATTCCTTAGATCTCTAGTGGTCTTTGGCTTTCTATTCATATTGAAGAATAAGTGTAAAATGGTTATAGTTCCTTGTGTCTGAGCAGGGATTATCCAGCAATCAGCTTCATAAAGAGTATCACTGAGAGTTTCTCAAACATCTGTAGAAGAAAAAAAATTAAGGAAAATAAGAGGAGAAATCAATAAAATTGAAAACACATGTGTGCTATACAGAAAATAAAAGCCAAAACTGGATCTTTGAACAGATTAATAAAATTGATAAAGGTTAAGATAAGCTTACTAAAAAAAGTATAAATATCAGAAGTGTAACATGACCAGAGGCCCTAAAATAGTAAAAATAATAACAGCACATTAAGAATAAATATTTATGTCAAAATATTTGACATTTAAGTGTTTTATTTTCCTCCAAAAACAATTTACCAAAGTGGATGCAAGGAATAATAGAATGTCTGAGTTATATTCTGTTAATTTTGATAAATTGTATTAGTTTGCTCAGACTGTCAACTTTTATTATTAGCTGCAGTACTCTGCTCAGGCCACTGTGGGATGGATGGCTTAAATAACAGCATTTACTTTCTCACAGTTCAGATAGCCAGAAGTTCAAGATCAAGGTGACATCTGGATTGGTTTCTGGTGAAGCCTCCCTTCTGGCTTGTAACCCACAACCTTTGCACCATGTTCTCTCTCCTCTCACGGCTGTTTCCCTGTATGCGTAGAAGCCAGAGAAAGGGAAAGACAGTGTGAGTGGACTCTGCTGTTGCTTCTGATAAGGACAACAACCCTATCCATTAGAGTCCCACCCCTGTCACCTCAATTAACTTTACACAG